CCTTCCAACCCTAGAAACTATGAAACTATGAAACCCAAGTGGGAGCTGAGGATGCTCACGACACTTGTAAGTAGGTCCTTAGCATTTCTAAGGACTGAGGTTATAAATAACAACTTCTGTAGTTTTTAAGTTTCTACTTTCTAGTGAAGTTATGCTATGCATGTAGTAACTGTATATCAATACACGTAACTGTATACGACATATAATCATTTACTGAGAACCAAGATTCCAATTAGGTAAACTACAGAACTAGAAAAAGTTGCTTTGACATTGAAACAAAAAAAACTATGTTTTGAGCTGAGCATAGTTGTTCAGGTCCGTAGCCACTTCATTAGTCTATTACAACAAAAGCCGCATTATCTGGCACCTTACAAACCAGCGTGCTCTATTAACCGGCATGCCAGTCAACACGGCAAAAGCAAAACCGGAAATGCCCACCATGGCACTTCTGGTTTTGCCGAGCCCCTATGGCCTGGGGCATAACAGCCTGTCCCCAATGTGCCTGGGGCCCCCAGGAGAAGCGGTGGTGCTCCGGACGCGGCAGAAGGGGCGCCGGCCCGCACAGGCAAAGGCCTCTCAGGAAACTGGCATATTTGATTATCCAGCACCCCCCATTCCCCATAGGTGCCAGATAACAAAGCTTTTGCTGTAATTATCCTGCTCTTCAGATGTTGTCATGGATCATGTCTCTTTTAGGAGACTCCCCAAGAAGCAACCTTATTTGTTCTCCCTCTCCTGAAGGACCCCCTGATGCCAGCCCTGGCAACTTCACAATGGCCAAGCCTCTGGGTTTGAGACCCTGGCTCTTCTTTATTTCTGGCTTCCCTGGTGATCCAGTAGCACCACAGTTAGAAAGCTCCTTCTTTTTAGTCAGATCTCAGGGTGGGTTGTATTTTCTTCTTCAAAGAGGGGATGTGTGTGTGGGGAGTTAGAGTGCCAATACCCAAATAGCAGAGCAGACTGTTCAGCTCCAAACAAGAAGTCTTTATTGTGCCACCGCAGTTCCTCTGTCCTTCCTCAGATTCTATTCTGTCCCCCATGGAACTACTCCTTTCTCTCTACTCTGTCCTCCTTGGGAGCACTCTTTCCACACTCCAATTCTCTCAAAGCCTCTTTCTTTCTCTTCCAGCACATCTTTATTTTCACTAACCTCTAACTGAAATTTAGCATTTCCTTCAATTATGAATGTAGGCAACAAACCACAGTAGTATTAGCAGTACCTGTGACTTTGTCACCAACAGAAATCACAGATATTTTCATATCACATTACAGTTGTTGCAGATATCTTGAAATATCGTTTACGCTCATCACTACTTCGAAATTACGGTAGTTATTAGACCCGCCGCTAGATCGCACGTGATCGCAGTCTTCCTGTCTACAGATGCTCATTATTCTGAGAAGGGGTCCATAGGCTTCACCAGACTGCCAAAGGGGTCCATGGCACAAAAAAGGTTAAGAATCCCTGTTCTAAACCCTTTGCAGTTCAACAGACAACGGATTTGGGGACAGGGCTGAAATCACAAACACAACGTGGTCTACTTTTCCTTTTGTAGTATATGACAAGAGCATGGGTGTCTGGTGCCCCTTGAGTCAGTGACTGGAGAGGGGGGTCCTCCAGCGGCCGATCCCGCTGATTGGGGGGGTGCGCAGCCCATCTCACTCACCATAAAAGCAGCTGCACGGCCCCACTCCCTGGCCAGCGTTCACAGGGGGGGCACTGGTGCTCCTGCCTGCCCCCCTTCCCACTGGCTAAACAGGGAGTGTGGCCTGACAGGGGGTGCACCGGCACTCTCAGGGAGTGCACATATACCCCCGTGTACCTTCTATGCGTCGCCCCTGGACAAGAGCTAATTTGACACTGATCCTTGTCTAATTCATTCTATTTTTGCACTAACAGTTACAGGATTCTATTCATTTCTTGCATCTGGTGTCTGAAGAAGTTTTCAAATGAGTGTTACTTCCCACTGGGTCAACTGTTATGCACAGTAATTTGGACAAGGTAGGAGGGATTCAGACTGCAAAATTCAGGTCTACATTACAACATTCCAGTCTGGCTTGGTTTGGATATGGGATATCATCTGGAACAATTTAAACAAGAATGATCCTCACTTGAACAGCAGGGATGGATTAAACAATTTCCTACTTTTCTATGATCCCATGATTTTTGTCCCATTATAAATATTGCAGCCATTTGCAAATTCCAGATCTGGGTTTGATTTAACACTCTCAAAATTTAAGGTTCTTCAGACCAGTGGTTTAACTGGAGCTAAAGAAAGATAATTTTATTTAAAAATTCATCTCCAATTGTGGACAGCAAATTAAATGCAAAATGCACAAGCTTAGCTCATAAAATCAGAAGTATCATAATAGATACATCTCATTTTGTTCTCTCTTGGAATTGGTTAAAAATTTCCTAGTGATTCCTGTAGTCTCCAGGAGATCCTTTGGTTCATAGGCAACATACTGCAATAGAGATGTAAATCAGAATTAAGAGTATGGTTTGTAAAATGGGCTTACAGAGAATCATAGAAAACAGAAACTCCAATGTCGCATTAGGTCACCTATTCTATCTTGGGCCAGTGCTGGTTTTATGCTTGATATTATATTTTCTAGTGCTTTGTGCAGTCCAATTCTAAATGCTGTATTTTGCATGGAAAACTTATTTCCTGTATATGTCAGACTCTTGGGACATCCGGACTACTCACACAGACCACATTTGTAATCATTATTCAAACACACCAAGCATTTTTTTTTTTTTAAAGAAAGTGGTCTACTTCTCCAAATAATGTGGTTCATCATCAAAGAAACTGCCTTATCAAGACAGGAAGAGGACTGCAGGTGACTCACTCATTTTACTGTCATCTGTATGGACTGAAGCAAGAAATGAGCTGCTGCTATGAGCAATAGGATGCAGTACATACCCAAAGGAAGTGTATCAATAACATTAACTTTTAATGCAGATTAGAATATTACATACTTCAGCATGCTGGATATGTGTATAACATCACCCAAGTATGTATAGCTACAGGCCAAAGTTTATCACTTACCGATACACACAAACACCAACCCCCCCACCAGCAACTGAAAAATTTCAGATACCTACTGCTATTTCATGACATAAAATGTAACTGTTAGAGGCCTTCTCCCCCTTTCTTTTCCTTTCTCAGAAGGATGCCAATCACTATAACCTTACCCAGCTCCCTCACTAGGAACTGGAATTACCTCTTTGCCTATCTCGATTTGTCTATTTGACTCGCCTGCTACAACAAACAGCTCTAGAATTTAACCTGGAATAGTGGGGCCATGCTACAGGGAAATCATTAACATGAATCTGAGGATGGAAAGGCAATTTTCAAAGGGACAAATGGCAGTAAGACACCCAAACTGTCTTGAAAAATCATCAGACCTTAGCTGCCACTGGGCTTTTAAAAATCTCACTTGTAATCAATCTATTTTTTAAAGTAAAAAATCGTTTCAGGCATAACCACTGTGTCTCGGCCCCACTGCCCCCTTTCCTACATTTTAAGACAAATTGTGAAAATTCATTATGCACAGAGTACTGTTCTGAATGCACTATACTGAAAATCTGGGAGGGAAATAGAAAAAAATGAAACCCTTTCCTTCAAGCACTTGTAGTTCCAATGACTGTACTTGTGGTAAGTAAAAACAATTATGTAAGTTTCTTTTTTAAAAGGATTTTTTTGCTGTGGGAATCATAATTCTGTCAGAGAATTACATTTAATGTTTTTATCAGCAGTCAAGGAAGTGCCAGCAGCTCAGTATGACATCAAGTCAAAAAGCACAAGATCTGGAGTGGCCACAACAGAGAAGATCTTAAGAACATTTCCATTCTGCATTTACAGATGCATGCAAAAGTGCAGCTGGATCTTAGATCTCAGTACAAAGCATTTAGCACGTTTAGATTTGAAGCACTATTCCTTTATGCTTTTTTTCTTTTGGTATGAGAAAACAAACAAACAAATGAAAAAAAATACCGTAAACCTTGCAGCAAATATTTCAATCAAGAATCTTATTGGGAATTTTAGCTGAACCCTGTCCTGTATTCACCTCAACCAGCAAGCATTTTTTCCCCTCTCTAGCTAACATACCATCCACACTCTTTTTCTCTGCCAAGAGACCAGCCTCACTTGCCTTCTCTCTGCTACCAGGTGTTATCCTGCTCTTTCACATTGCCCGTTTCATGGCAGTTCTTCCACGCCCGACCCTTCCACAGCCCATACTAGATTTCAGGCTGCAGGAGGAAGCTAACATCAAGGAGAATTGAACCATGTCAGAAACAACAAGCTGAGCAAAAAGGGCATCCAAATAAGTGAAGTTTGGTAGTGAGAGGTGGACTGACTCTTTTCAAGAGTCCTTATCTACTTGCCTTCCTTCAACAAGACATACCCCCTTCTCTCACAAAATGTTCAGTCAAGGAGTAATCAGCGTTCTAAGGGGGTAACATCGTGATTCTTGAAAGTGGCATGTACGTCAATTTTGGGATGCACCGCATATTAACATACAAAATACCTCAGGCTTAGGACTCAAAAGTAGGACACCAAAACCTAGAGACCACTTCTTAGATTGAAGGTCTGAGCTTATATTTCTTCTCAAAGCAATTCCCCTTTCCAGCTAGTCTGTAGCAGGAAGAGATATTGAAAATTCCAGACAGTCCATAAATTATTAAACGTAACTGTGGATTGCTAAGATTTACTCTAAATCTATTTCCCTTTTCTGACTTACTTTTCTCAAACTGACATGGTTCTTTCAGTCATACATAGATAATTACCAAAATTTATTTTTAATCTGAAAAAGGGAACTGAATGGTCCAAATTCAAGCCCACACCA